TCTATTTTACCAAATGGCACTGCCAAGAGTAGTAAAAATTCTGGCCATGCAGCAAGAGCGGAATAACGTGCAATAGAAAAGTGAAATATTATTACAGTTTAAAATAGTTGTTTTCTATGTGAATATATAGTAAAATAATTTATTTCTGTAATCAAAGCTGAATTTTCAGCATCATTACTCCTGTCTTTAGTGTCACATGATCCTTCAGAAATCATTCTATATGATTTGCAGGTCAAGAAACGTGATTATAATCAATGCTGATCATGCTCCATCTAACTAAGGATTTTAGTTGTACTATTTTTGTTGCTACTGGAAATTGTTGAAACTGTGGTATTTTATATGTCAGGATTATTTGATGAATAGAAACTTAAAAAGAACCGCATTTATTTAAAATAGAATACTTGTATTTATATCTATAACATTATTATTTGTTAAAAAAAATTGTTAAATTAAATGGTGCACTTATGTTTACAATGTGATTGTTATTTTTTTTTAAATTAAAAATTTGGTTTAAACATATTTTTTGTATAAAATGTATTATTCATTGATCTCTTTAAATCGATAACCTAATGGAGCGACCATTTATTATGTGGTGCGACCAATAAAAGCAATCACTGTATTATATTTAAAATAAAATATCTTATTTCTGTGGCTGAAATATGAATTACTAATAAAATATGCTTAAATGAATGGTATTTTTAAAACATTTTTATCCGTTTTATGTGATTTACAGGAAAAATAAGTCTGTTAACTAGATTTAAGGTGGCAACTAGCCTATAAAATTGTAGAACTAAAAAATGAGATTCATCTAGATGAGGAAACACTAAAATCACTTAAATTAAAAAAAAATCTATATGAATTTAGGTGTACACAACATTCTTAATGTCTAATTAAATATTTCAAATGTTTACCATTTTGTGTTTAGGAGGAAATTGAAGATTTCTAAATTATGTGATTTGTTGCTCTCAAACGGGAACATTGGGCTACAGTTTTGGATGCAGAAAAAATAAATAAAATAAAAACTGTTCAAAAACAGACTTTGAAACAAAATATATTTTTTAACTCCCTGCTGATCTCATTTTTTTTTTTTTTTTAGAAATATATATATATATATATATATATATATAGCCTATAGCTTAAAAAACATTTAAACAGATTATTATGCACATTATTTCATTGGGAGGGTCGTGCACAAAGGCGCAAAGGCAGGTATTTCCATCATAAACAGATCGAAGCATAACACATGCAGTAATCACCATGGCAACTGCTGATGAGACGTGTCGACTTCACTGGTTTTGTAAAACCGTGCACAATCAACAGCTGTTGTTTTCAATGTCGCGATTATTAATACATAGATTTATGTTGCATATTTAACAAGTATGTAATCAAAAAAAACGTTTATTTCCAACACTCGCCACGTCAAATTAACCCATTTCAAACACCATGTTTAATGTATACGTTACAAACAAACGGATAACGTGTGAAATAAGTGGTTGCAACTAAGATGCATCGTTCACTTTGCAAAAATATAATAACATAATGATACCGATACACCACTAGATTTATGTTGTTAATAGGCTAAATCATTTAAATAAAAATAATTGTCTATATAACTTTACTACTGTCTGTATCACTCATGCACTCTTACCAGGAGACCACGCCGCCTCAGTATATTTGGCTCATCCATTGTGAATGTTTTGTAGGTTTCCTATGGTTAATTTAACCCATCCCGTAGGGATACACGTCTTTTACTCATGATATCTCTAGTCACCGAGTCCATCCCTGAAACAGCGAGCACACTGTCACCTGACTAGAGGATGAGAGAGTCTGCGAGGAACCAATCAAAACACGAATCTGTACAATTAAGGCGGTAGCGACTTGATGAATCAGGTTGTTGTTGTGCTGAGTAGCTTCCCGAAGTGCTGTCTTTCATATTAATTTAGGCTGCTATGTAGACGGTGTAATTCATTTAAAATCTTAACTTAAATGTAGATTATTAAGCTATTTGACTGTCAAATGAAAATATCGGAATAATTATGGATGTTAATTTGTTTGTTTGTTTGTTTGTTTGTTTGTTTGTTTGTTTTTTTGGATACATTTAGCTTAGAAGTTCTGAAGATCCATAAAGGTCATTTAAAAAAATGTTTATATCTAGTACCCTTAAGGTTCTACAAGGCTACATGGCCTACAGCTGCATATCAATTTTGCAATGCAATTTCTGGTGTAGGCCTAAATGTTTACCTTTGAGTGAAAGCTGTCAAATAAAATCACATTTTACACCAAGGATGTAATTATATTGAGTATTGGGGGCACACAAGATACTGTCATGTAGTTGTTGTATTTGATTCTTTGTCTTTCACTAAATGTAAAAGACTTTTTTTGTATGAAAAAAACAGCTCTGTTTACCGATGAAACATTCCGATATTTAAATTTTCAGAAGCATACTGGAATAATTTGGGCAGGTTGGCACTGTCAGTCATGTGGGATATTGTCTTGACTGATTTTTGTCTGTCTCCAAGTGGCACCATGATGCTTTGATGTAACAATGGAACATTGATTGAAAAACATCACAACACTGCATGAGTCACTCTTTGTCTGCTCTCCTTTTATGCACAGAACACAATCTTTAAATTATCTTACAATGTGAATTATTGGTTGTTTTAATATCCAAATGCTTGAGTGCACATTTAGTGTCTTTTTTTCTTCTTTAATCAACCAGGATTGTTTCCTATTGTGATTTTTTTTTTGTGCACATTTATTTAGCCTATATATTTCTTTTCTGTGCAGTTACTTGCTGTGGTAAATGAAAGGGAGTGTGGCCTTTACAGTCCACTGCTTGTTGTCCTTTCCTATTACGGTGCGCCTAATGCACTGTGTTCCTGGAACAAAGGCAGGATCGTTTGTGCTTGTTAGAGTTGTTTGAGCACCACAATGATTATATTATTTCCAGCTTTTGAGGCTGAACTTTTCCCTGCTTCCCTCCCAATTCATGAAATTGTTTATGACAAATTTATGTCAGTTTTAGTTTTAAGTAGATTTTAGTTGATAATAGGAATTTGTTGTGACAGAATTTAGAGATGAGCTCTGACTTTGTGCTGCGATCCAGTTGTTGTGTGTGTATATATATATATATATATATATATATATATATATATGTATATACACACACACAATATATATATATATATGTATATACACACACACAACATAATATAAAGCAAGCCATCCCATCTCTAAAAATAATGCCACTAGCTTAATGCACCCCATTTTCCATAGTAACCACTAGAGGGCGTCATTTATCTACATTCATCTTCAGTAAGCTTATGTCTGACAACAAAAATTGGGTGATGCTCTTTTTTATCATCCTGAAGATTTGTGACACTCTTGCTTTTAAACTTGTCAAGCATAATGTTAGTTTTGGCAGGTCACGTCAGTCAAGCTTGCATCAGCTGTCTCTCAGCTGATCCATGTCTACCTATAGGAATACTATGCATATCAGCATACCTATAGATAAAATCCATTCAGTATTATCATCAGCTTTATCTCGATAATCAGGAGCTAATTACCCTCCTCCATGCATCCCCAGCCCCTCCTCTCATCTAGTCAGGACTTGGCCTTCTGATATTCCCCTTTGAATCAGACTCATTTTCTTGAATCATTTTCTTGTTATACATACATAAATCATTGAACATGAATAATATCCGCAATGCATTTATGTTGGTTTGGTTCTGTTTACCCCTATTCTGCTGCTCTTATCCATGCTAGGCTGATCCATGCTTGCCCAGAACAAAACCTCCAATCCTTACTGTATGTGAATTGTCAATCATCTTGAACAATAGAAACACTTTTATCTCCTCATTTCTCATTTAATGTATGGATCACAGACAAACATTTTGACTAGTTTTTAAATAGCACCATTGCTAGAATGACCCATTAACCCTTACTGTTGTGAACACACAACTGCCCTATATGTGTGGGTGTCTGATGATGCAATTCTGCTGTAAAATGTCAGTAGCCTCACTGACATGCTATCACAGATTACAGAAAGGAATTGTTTATCTGTGACCTCAATGTGGAGAGATCTCTTATGTAGCTTATTGAATTAATTAATTGTTAGTGTGTATTTTTGTAGTTTAGTTGTAAATTAACTGGATGAACTTGACAAAGAGGCATGTCCTAAACACTCAAACGTGCCCTTTAACCTGTTGCAGTGGCAACAGATTTAACACCAACAGTGGTGTGTAAAATATATACAGTATATATATATATAATAAATGCAATTTGTCTGGTGTGACATAACATACTTCTTAAGTGTTCGTTGTGGGTGTGTATTGAATGCGTGTGACAACCTTCCTTTGTGGTTAAAATACAGTTGCCGTTTTGTTTGGCTTCAAATGCTCCATTAATCAATGTGGGGCTCTTGGCATTCTGACACACGCTTAATATTTGTTTGAAACATATAAGAACCTTTCACACACTTTTACCTAAGGAGAGTCATCAGAGCATGTGACACACAACACGTGAGTTGCAGTCTAGCCATTTATTCAAATTATTCAACCTTTTTTTGTGTAAACAGTAAACATATCGTGGTGGTCCCATAATTATTGATTATCCTTTGTATCCTTTTTATATATACTGTACACATAATTCAGATTCTGTTCAAATGTAGAATTACATAATGGAGAAGCATAGCACAGAAATTCCTTGTATCAAAAATACTCTCCAACTATTCTTGTCTCATTTTGCCTCGTTATAGATTTTTATATTTGTACATATTATCCAGTATTGTTTGCAGCAAGTCCCAAGTCCAAGATGAATTTCACTTTGGGGTGACAGTATTATCCTAAAATCCAATGACATGATGTCATTGTCTAGGGAAAGACTACTTTGCATGTATAGTTTCATCGTGGGTGTAGATGAGCAATCCTCTCAGATGAGGCGTGGCCTGTACCTGTATAAATGAAAACATGCCTGGAATTTCATTCATTGCACTGATCAACACAAAGACTTGCCATGCAGAACTCAGTAGCACAGTGCTTTCTCCTTTCTGTTGGGGCTGTTATTTTTAGCTCTTGCCTGCGAGAGTCTACAGCTCAACTGGAGCATGGGGAAATGTTCATGGGCCTGCAGCTCGAGGCTCTGAAAACCATTATTCTGGAGTACCTGGGGATGGACGAACCACCCAGGCCTGGTGGGAGAGCGTCTCACCAGGACTTGGTCAGGATGTACCGTCAGTATAGGAGAATTGGACAGCTGCTTAAAGGCAATTCCAGTGAAGGGCAGGAGCTTCAGCCTGCAAGAAGTGCCTCTACAGTGCTCTTTCCCACGACAGGTATGTTTTTATTATAATTATGTAAAATAAAAACGTTTAATTGTGTAATTTGAAAGACACACACACATATATATGAAGAGTTTAGATGCAAAAGCCTCTAAATGCCATTTGAAATTTTCTTCTTTAATGATGATTTTTTATCAAATTTGTATATTTAAGTTCAGTAATTTCACTTAAATAACAAATATAGGTAATTATCATTGCCATTTAAGTGAAATCACTGAACTTAAATATACAAGCTTGATAAAAATCATCATTACAGAAGAAAATTTCAAATGGCATTTAGAGGCTTTTGCATCTGAACTCTTCATATACTGTTTAAAGATAGTATGTATATATTTGTTGGACTCGAATGTATAAAAAGTGTATGTAGTTTGCATTGTCTAATTTCTAACTTTTAAACTCACCTTTTGAACTATGTTAATTGAATACAGTTACAGTACATTCAATTTTATACAAATGTACATGTGTAAATATGTTTTGTGTGTGTGTGTATATATGGATAGACACCACACGCACACACAACAAATATTGATCTATCGATAAATACACATACAAAACATGTACACATGTACATTTGTTCAAAATTGAATGTACTGTATGTATCCACTGTAGTGGATTAAAGATTAAAATAGATAATTGATTTATTTGGTTTATGTTTGCATATACACATTTGTTTTGCGTTGTCTAATTTCAGTTTTTCTTTGTTATTTTCCTAACAGTACAACCTCTGAATTCAAGCATGGATTCAAGGCAGCAGTGGTTCAGAGCTGCTTTCCACAAGAACTCGCGCATCAAAACTGGAGTCAACATTAAACATGCAAGGCTACAAATTAAGAGACCGCACGTGTACAAAATGTCACCTGGCCAGCCATGGCTATCAAAAGACGTTGTGGTTAGAATGCATAAACCTCCCGGTTTTCATAAAGAGACTGTATTTCACACGAGGCACATGAGCTCTCGGGATGTCACGTTGGATTTAACAGTTGCAGTTGAGAAGTGGCTTAAGGACACAAGTGCTGAGCTTTTAGTTGTTGAAATTTGCCTTCTCAAAAAACAAGAAGTGAGTGCACAACCCATGCCTCGGCTTCTTTTACAGCTTGACCAAGCAGTGAGGAGAAGCAGGAGAGCTGTCTCTACTAAGGAGGAAAGTGTTGAGGATGAAGGTCACTGCAGGCGAAAGTCATTAAATGTTTCCTTCAAAGAGATCGGCTGGTCAGACTGGATTATCGCTCCTTCGGGCTATACCATGCACTACTGTGATGGTTCCTGTCCGCATAATTATAAACCTGCCAGTATGCATACTCAGGTAAAGTCTCGCCTTCATCTCATGTCCAAAGGAACAACACCCGGGCCTTGCTGCGTACCAGCTGCCTATGAGCCAATGGTTCTCATGCACTATGACAGTCGTGGGAAGCTGAAACTCACGCCTTTCAATGATTTGATAGTTAGTAAATGCCACTGTGCATAAGACTGATTGACAACTGAACTTTATAGTCTCAAGATGAAAAGGAGGCAAAACAACTCGCCAATGAAATACAAATATGTTGTCACACACCTTTGGTTACATTCCTGTGGTTTATATGTGGCTTCTTCTGAAACCAGATGCCTGCTTTCCTACTGACATGTTAAATGGGTACTGTATTTTCACATGATTGACATACTGGAATATCAAGTTATTTATTGTAATTTATTTGAAAAGTTTTGTACCTTCTTTTTTAGTATTTGTGTTGTGAATGAATCAAGAAACCTTTTGTATTTTTGAAAGAATGTAAATAAAGTAGTTGTATTCCTTTAAGGAAATGATCTATTTTCTGTATAAATGTTCACTACATTTCAATAAAGACGATTCAACATCCTCTCTGAATATAAGATAAACATCGTCAAATATTTTATTTTTATTTTTTTGTGAAACCAAGTCAAGTTTGAACTGCTATGAAGAGTCTGGATGTTGTTAAAAACCTTTGAATCTAGATTGAAATGAGCGCATGCTAAAAATTAAACTGGATTAAATTGTGAAAAATGGATCATCAGAATTAATCATTTGTGTATGACTCACTCAGATCAACCATAAAATGAATTTACAAAACGTTTTACTTAAAGTGTAAACTTTTAAATTACACTCAACATTTTACAATATCCTGTCAGTTATAGATCATTTTCAAGGTGAGGTCATGTCATAAATATGCTTAAAAGATATTTATCTATGTCATCCAATAATATCCACAGCTATCACATCTATAAAGATATCCCAGTTCTTACATCTGTAGCCTTGAAAGCACACATAAGTTTCATTGGCCTTGACCAGAGAGTGAATGCTCTCTAAAGCGAGCACAGTGTTCATGTGGGTTCATTTGTGACTTAGTATTTACATAATACTGTCACGATAGTCTATAAAAAAAATAGTTGCTGTAAATATTTTTGAGATACATTAATTGTTTTGACACAATGTAATCATTTCATTGATAATGGTAATAAAAATAACACAATCAACCATAAAGCAATAAACAAACTGACTTCCTTGTACTTATTACTATCACTTTATTCACCTAAAAAAGATAAAGTACTGGCTCATATACATCAATAAAACTGTTTTAGTAGGTTTGGATAAAACAATGGGGGTGAAATAAACAAGAAATGGCTTTCCTTATTAAGTATGTGGGTAAGGAAATTCACCTTAGCATATCTGGCTGTGCCAATAACATAGTTTGGATAAGATGTGTGTCAGTACTCTGCGATTATTGAAAAGCCCCTAAAGTCACTAAACAATGCTTTTGCTGCCAGGATTGTGGCTATTTGCATTTATCCAGGATTTTATCTATTTTCAATTTTGTATTGAGCTACAGGCAGGTCTGTGGATACAATGCCCTGGTGGCCTGTATAAGGTAGCAAAAAAAAAAAAGAAAAAAGAAAAAAGTAAAATGGATTTATCACTTGCACACTAAATAGCATTACATAAAGCACCATCACTTTGAAAGAATTATACCTGAAACCAGACCTCTGATGAGTCTCAGAGGAGAATGACCAGACTGGTTTGAGCTGATAGAAAGGCAACAGTAACTCAAATAAACACTTTTTACGAACAAAACGTCGAACCTTGAAGCAGATGAGCTACTCCACTCCTCTCAGCTACCGTAACTGTTGCTTGGTCTGATGAGTCTCGATTTCTGCTGTGAAATGGTATGGGGTAATTTATGTCATTTAAGTCAGATTTCGATGTCAACAACATGAAAGCATGGATCCACTGCTGCTGGTGGTGTAATGGTGTGGGGGAGATTTACTTGGCATGCACTTTGGGCCCTTTTGTACCAATTGAGCATTGTTCAAACGCTGCATTATTGCTGACCATGCCAATCCCTTTATTACAACAGTATACCCTTCTGATGGCTACTTCTAGCAGGATAACGCACCGTGTCACAAACCTCATGAGCTCAAGCTGGTTTCTTGAACATGACAGTGAGTTCACTATTCTCAAATGGTCTCCACAGTCATCAGATTTCAATCCAATAGAGCATCTTTGGAATGTGGTGGAACAAGAGATTCGCATCATGGATGACCAGCCGGGAAATCTGCAGCAATCATGTGATGCTATCATGTCAATTATGGACCAAGATCTCTGAGAAATGTTTCAAGCACCGTGTTGAATTTATGAATTAAGGCAGTTCTGAAAATAAAAAAGCAATGTGTACTTAATAAAGTGTCCAGTGAGATTTACTGCATACATTTTTCAATAATTGCTGGAAATTACACTTTTATTGGAAAATTATAGCATACTGTACATGACATTGATGATTAGTTTTTACTTTCCAACCCATTCTTACTAAAGCTACCATGACCATTCAACAATAACCAAGACATTCATGCTATTTACTCAAAACCTTATCTGTCAACAGGTTAAATAATCTTATAGGCTACCTCACTGAAAAGTTTAAAAAGTTAACAAGTGCACTTCACAAACCAAATATTTAGGTTTGCAAGGCATTATGATCAAAGATCATGAACATAGCTACTGTATAATGAAGATATGGTTCAAGGGAATCGCTCACATACTTGCCCTGTTATGAGCCCTGAAGCTATACTATAAAGAATGCAGTTTAGTGGGACTGCTCCAATGTAATATTCAAACTCCGATAAATGGCCATTTACTGACTGTAGGTTAATTAAAAGGTTTGTAGAGCCAACAACAATCTCATCTGAGTCTGAGAAATAGATCCGGAAACAGTGATTTGCCAACAGGATATGCAGCAAGCAACCTTATACTTTTTCTGAGAGATGTGTATGAAAAACACCAAGACTAGGGCAAGCAAAAATTGAACTGTTTGTCTCTGATTGTGACATTCTGACGGCTTCTTAGTGCCATAAAACCACCCACTTGTCTAATGTTCCACTTGTTTTATTTAGTTGTGGAAGTGGAAAAGACACTCTCAGCTAATTTGTAGCTAATTGCTGAGAGAGAAGATTTCAGTGAGTCACAGTGACATAAAAAAAATCATAAGGCACAGTCAAGATGAATTATTACTGTAAGTTAAGGCATGTGAAATGCACTGCACATACCATTCAAAAGATTAGGTTCTGTAAGATTGTTTTAATCGTTTTAAAGTCTCTTAAAATATATTTGAAAATAAAATATATTCTAAAATATAATTTATTAATGTGAAAAAAATATATAATTTATTCACGTAAAAAATATAATTTATTCACAAAATGTTCATCAGTCATTGCTCCAGACAGTGCCACACGATCCTTCAGAAATCAAACATGCTGCTTAAAATTTTTGTGGAAACTATGATACACTTTTATCAGGTTTCTTTGATGAATTGAACATTAAAAAACAAAACAAAACAGTATTTATTTGAATATAGAAATATTTTGTACAATTATAAATGCCTTTACTGTCAATTTAATGGATCCTTGCTAAATAAAAGTATAGAATTCTTTGCGGGGAAAAAAAAACAAACAAAAAAAAACTTAATGACCCCAAACTTTTTAACAGTAGTAGTAAAAATTCGGGAAGAAATTAAAAAAAAAAAAATTAACGGCATGACAGAGGCACATGTGGAAAGCCCCTTGCTGAAAAGTTCAGCATATGGACCATCAGTTCAGCATCTCAACTAGAACAAGCTATGTTGGTAAACCAAACCAGAAAAAGCCAGTCTGTACCAGCATGGAACATTTACTCTGGTCAGAGCTGGTCTTTTCAGCAGGGGTTGTTTGCAAACGGCAGAGACACCTGTTAAAGTGTGATCAATGAGGTCATGATTATGTTTTGCTGTCTCACACTGACTTCAGTTACTAAACTAGGCTGGCTCACGCAATGTTTGCGAATCATTTGCATTGCTCAGGTCAAGTCTATTTCTTGGGCAGAATGTTTAGCCCTTAATTTTACCATCTGAACATAAAGGTGGTATTGTTTCACATAATGCCAGCACAAATTATTTTACTGAGGGATTAATATTTGACAGCAAAACACTTCAGACTTTCAAGCATCTGGCATGATGTAAATATCCTCTAAGATTTCTGGCTGATCTGGATGGAAGAGGGCAGGATCATTGCTGTAGATTTCATCATTTTGCGGATCATGCAGGTATGCTTGATGGGCTCTAAATGGGGGCAAAAGTGAAATTCAGTTCCTGAAAACTCAATGAAATCCTCAAATAAGGCATTAAAATAGATTACAACAAGGTGAATTGCAAAATTTGCACCAACATATACACTCAAAAAAAATTATATGTTGGCTTGAATTAACTTTTTTATGTCAACAGGTTCCACATAACTGGGTTACGTTAAAAATAATTTGTTCATGTAACTTTAACATAATGGAATTTAGTCGTTTTTAAGCGATGAACACTGAAGCAGTGCTAAAGTTTATGAGATAATTAAGTGAATAATTGAGGGATGATTGATCATTATTGAAGACCTGATGGTAACAAGCAGAATCACTGAAGGAGAAAACCAGAAGTCACCATTATGGTGATCAGTGTGTGTTTTAGTTGGGCTTTTAACTTTAACACTGCTTCAGTGTGTATTTCACTCTGCTCAGCTTCATTGGGTTGCTTAAAATAAATTATTCCATGATGTTGAAGTTACATGAACAATTATATTTGTTTAACGTAACCCAGTTATGTGGAACCCATTGACATAAAAAAGTTAATTTATTGAACCTGTTAACATAAAAAAGTTAATTAAAGCCAAAATATATTTTTTTTGAGTATTGCGGCAAAATAAAAATTCCTTTAATGTAACTCTTGATGACTGTTATACCACTATTGCCACACATTCATGATGTCACTGTGATCTTGCAAAACAGACAAATAGAACACAGCATAAAATTCCATTACAACTTCAAAGACTTATCTCAGCCTTCTCCCCACCCAATTTCTGATGATCTACATTACGACAGTGTCATCCACGCCGCGTATACAAATTTGACTTTTGTACTTTACCTGTGTGTGTGCTCGCTTTGAACAGTACTCTGAAATTCATGACGATTGGACTGTCCGCTCTGAAAGTTCTCATAGATTGGGCTCTGCGGTGCAGGTTGAAGTCCTCCGGCATATCCACTGCTGTACGGAGACTCTCTGGAATGACTATCATGGCTTTTATCTTGGCTCTTAAGTTTATTAGATAACTCAATATCAATTGATTTTCTGTGTCGAAACCAGAGAAACACTGCTATCCCCGCCAGAAGCAGAGACACAAAGAATATAGGCAAACCAACAGCAAGTCCAAGTGACTGGCTGTTGTTAGTCCCGCAGTCATCTGTAGAATTGCTTCCAGAGCAACTGCTATTTACATTCATGGTCTAAAAAAGATAGAAACAATGATGTTATTATAGGCCCTATCTAAAATGACAGCAAAACACTCAAGCATTTAAAGCAGAAAACAAGCATCCACATCAATGTCTTTCACAACAAGAGAAAGTGATATAGGCTATTTTAAGTATATGTACACTGAAATGAATCAAATTAACATTTTACTAATGTAACCCAAATGTATCATTCATCATAGAAATAACCTTAGCCTACCATATTTTGTAGGTGAAAGTTTATATCCTATGTCTGTATCGCAGCAGCTGGCAGAAATGGTCAAGCTGCCGTTTGGGGTTTCTTTTTGCAAAAAGCCTCAAAAGTTCCTCTTTCGGTGCAGTAGTCATGCAACCTGGAAATTCACACCCCACACATAATCATTCTTCCTGTTGTCTTCCTATAAACAGTAATTTGCTCTGAAAATGAGTTATAAATGATATGCAAATAATAATAGCCAGACTGTTCATAAAATCTGTAGCCTGTTTTTCATCCAGTGGGGTTGACCAAACCCAGCCATCAGATATTATAGAGTTTAAATCACACTCTAAAAAATGCTGGGTTATTTCAACCCAAAGTTGGGTCAAATATGGACAAACCCAAATGTTGGGTTAATTAAAAAATGTACAGTTGAAAGTGAAAGTTGAAGTTGGGTTAAAATTTTAAATTACATTTTTAAACCAACATTTGGGTTTGACCACATTTTACCCAATTTTGGGTTAAAACAACCCAGCATTGAGTGCATGCAATGAAAGCAAATGTATAACAATCTGGTATAGACTGGCCAATAAATAGCCTGTAGCCTGAATCATTGAATGTGACTAGTTTGAATATACAGAAATGAAAGTTGGTTAACAAGATCAAGACTTCAAACTGAAGCTCAGCATTATAAAAAGAAAATGGAAATGTGAAAGCTCATGTTAGGCAAAGCTTAAGACATCCTCTAGAAAAAGAGGAACTTGGTTAGGCTAACATTGCACGACCAGTTAGAATAATAAAACTAGTTTTACTAACAGTTTGTTTTTACTGGGACTAATGTACTACATGTAGCCTACATGGTTTCAAAAACAATGCCATCTTAAAGGAACACTCCGACTTTTTGGGACTTTAGCCTATTCACCTTACCCCCCAGAGTTAGATAAGTCCATACATACCTTTTTCATCTCCGTGCGTGCTATAAGTCTGTTTGACGCACCCACCGCTAGCCTAGCTTAGCACAAAGACTGGATGTGAATGGTTGCAGCTTTCATACTGATCCAAATGAGTGGCAAAATAACGCAAACGTTTTCCTATTTACATGTTGTGGTTTGTATAGTCACAGAGTGTGCAAATATCAAGGCCATATAAGACACAGACATCTTTTGACCGTATAAATACTATATTTACTATACTTCTGAAGGGGAAGCACTGCTACTTGGGCAGAGTGATAACAATCACCTGAGACGCACCGTGACGAGGAGCAGAGAGTTCGCTTCGCTCAGCGTTGGAATAAAGAGTCAGCAATTACTAACGTTAGATAGAAAAGCATAGTTTATCATGGGTGTTTGCTTTATTGTATGAGCTGTGACAATAAATAGGGGAGACCAGGTAATACAGTACCATGTTTCATTGATTTCCAACCAAAAACGCACCCAGATTTATAAATATTACATGAATAAATAATTATTATTACAGGAATCAATATATTTTAAATGCAATTTATTAGCTGAACCAAATGTATTCAACAGTAGCCTATATAATATACCGTATTGCATTACTATAGGATAGAATAAGGGGAAAGTAATAGCACAAATTGTTTTTGCACAATGAACTCACAGCCTATCGTACCCTTTTGCACGCTCAAGTTCGTTATTTCCATGGTTATTTCAAATTTAGGCTAGGCACGCCGCGCGCAGGGTGCAAGTTCAACGCGGTGAACGCGCTCGTTTTTTTTTTTTCCAAGCGCGTCCGCACCGCATCAAGAAAAAAACATATTCATACCCTAATCATATAATAGTCTCACTAACGTTACATTAGATCTGGCTAAAGGCACTGTTACAGTAGGTCATCTAAAAACATAACGGAACACTTACCGCAGGTGATCCACTTGTCCTGTCTGTGCTATCGATGGGATGGCCGTATCTTTCAGCACATTATGGTCCGTGTGGCAAATTCCATTTTTTCAAAATAGTCGTCCTCATTGAAATGTACCGAGCAAACATAATGTCCCTTGATAATCTTAGGTGTGTTTGGATAAATATCCAGAGTAAGTTAGCCATTTCTTCATCCAGTCAGCGTTTTTAGTTGGAATTCTGTGAAACATGGTATTACCTCCCCTGTTTACTGTCGCAGCTATTTACAATAGAGCGAAAACCCATGACTCTAAACTACGCTTTTACTATTTATAAATTGCTGACTCTATTACCCAAACACCGAGCGAACTCTCCGCTCCTCACCACGGCGTGTCTCCGGTGATGCGGTTATTACGCCGTCAAAGTAGCAGTGCTTCGCCTTCAGAGAATAGTTCCCAGGTTTTATACGGTTAAAAGATGTCTGTGTCTCATTTGACTTTGTTATTTGTACATTATGTGACTATACAAAATCACAACATGTAAATAGGAAAACGTTTGCGTTATTTTGCCACTCATTTGGATCAGTATGAAAGCTGCAACCAGTCACATCGAGTCTTTGTGCTAAGCTAGGCTAGCGGTGGGTGCGTCAAACAGACTTATAGCACGCACGGAGATGAAAAAGGTATGTATGGACTTATCTAACTCTGGGGGGTAAGGTGAATAGGCTAAAGTCCCAAAAAGTCGGAGTGTTCCTTTAATGAACAAGCAAATTTGGGTCACTGTCGCTTGTGCTTTTATCACCCCCTAGTGTTAAAAGTAATGCATTTGCCTTCAAACTAACAGGTTTGTATGATTTTTTTTATTAGTGGGCAAACTGTGAGGATGAAATAGTGCAATTATTATTATTTTGGAAAGAACTACATAATTATTGATGAAAAAAGCCACTTATTGTGTCACTTTGAGACCCATTCTCAGCAATGTTGACTATAGCATCAAGCTGGAAAACCCCTAATTCAAATCCACAAAATGTATGGAAAAATGATTCCGGATTCAATGGAAATCGCTTTTTAAGTACAGTATGTTGTGTTAGTATGTCAAACAACAGACAGCTCTGTTTAACTAGGCTACTTATCCTAAACTAGAACACTAAGAAACTTGATTTTCCAGTGCTAGGTTTGCTCTAGACAGATAAACAGAAGCTAAATGGTGTTTTCACTGTTTTAGAAAACAAAACAAAAACTGCACCTTCAGGTTTCAAGAATTTAACCTCTTCTTTGCCTCTATTTTTATTTAAATATCACATGAAAATAAAAATATCTGTCTGATGTGAAACATGGAGTAAATCGTTGTTGGTTGGTTACTGCAAAACTCTGAAACTGATGTTACTGCATTTTGCAACATCTGATATCTCAGCTATACTTCTGTTTAAAAATCCCCCAGCTGCTGTAAAACACTTCCTTTCACATGCTCGCATTGTTCTGTTTAATTGAAGCCTATAAAAAAGATCATTTCACATTGAACAAATTGTCTGTGACGGCTGCATAATAATATGCATGACACGTCTGAGTGGACCTGGCATCCAACAACACCTGGCAGAAAGTTTTTTTTCCTTCATCATTAGAATTGGGAACCGAGAAACATTTAAATTAAAAAATAATATGGGAACCGAAGGATCTCATGACATTTGATTTCTTCCTCAACGACTGATGAATCTCGTTCGAATTATTTGCCCAGCGCCGTCTGCTTGTCAAACGAATGGTTCATAAGAGTCGGTTCTTTGAAGTTAATCAGCAACAGAGTCTAATTTATAGCCACCGAGCTTTTACAGTCTATGCTACCGAGTAGGCCTAAACAAACACAGATCAGAATGTGTAGTAGTCCGACTCCCAAGGGCCTGAGAGTTCTTTTAACAGAATACGTAGCTACAGCAGAACATGCGACCAGCGTGATTCACGAACGAACGAACGTTCGTGTAAGTTTTAAACTGTTAGGCTAATTAAGCAAATCAACACAGTTAGGAATGAATCCATCAATGAACAAAAGGTGTTTGAAGTAGGCTAATGTTTTATGTGTGTGTGTGTGTGTGTGTGTGTGTGTGTGTGTGTGTGTGTGTGTGTGTGTGACTCGAATAAAGACTCGAATTCTATATTTTTACGAAAATAATTGAGTGAAATATGATAGGGTGGCTATACATTTTTATTTGTTTTATTTTATAGTTAGGGGCTGGGTCAATAATTGTATTGCATAAACGTCAATGTATTGTGCATAAATTGCAATATTTTGATTTGTTACAGCCTGTTTAAATCGGAAATAATGTCATAATTTATTTTTTAACAGACTGAGTGCATATAACTGGATTTTTTTCCTAATATTTCTTCCTCAAAGGTACCTATTAAAGAATCGTTTATGGAACCGAATGAGCCAGAATCAGCATCACGTTATTCCCATTCCTAATCTTTATTCAAACACAGCACACATAATAATAATAATCCTCGAATACTGGCTGTAGAACAAAACGAGTAGAACCGCGCGCTCCAGATGTGCGTGTTCATACGCCCACGCGCACGGTCGCGCGCACGCAGCAGCGTCTCATTGAACCAGAGCGGAGCTCAGGAGGAGAGAAACATGGCGACCTCGAATAATCCGCGAAAATTCAGCGAGAAGATCGCGTTACACAACCAGAAGCAAGCGGAAGAGACAGCTGCGTTCGAGGAGGTGATGAAAGACCTGAGTATTACTCGGGCGGCCCGTGTAAGTGTGTCTGTTTTTTTTCTTATGGCTCATTCGTTTGCAGTCCGAGGTGCGGGGCAGAAATTATGTTGATACGACACGCACGGAACCCGCCTGTCTGGACGTAAACAATAACAAACGCCCCTCTCTAGTGCGCGTTTGTCTCTAGCGTTGATTAATGGATTCCCTTCCAATAGACGCTGTTGAGATGGTTGATAATAACAGACGGTCACGACGAGGCCTTATAAAAGTTGCCATGCTCACATCTGCAGTGGTTTGAGCATGTGTTTTGACAGTCACATTATAGTCTCTCGCCATTATAGCTGGACTTTAACTTAATAAAAGCCATATCCAGAGTTCTAAATCAAAATGTTAATTTCAGATGTCATTCATTATCGAAGGGCTAAATCTCAATGTTTGCATTTATGTTTACATGCTCTCAATGAATAATTTAGCAATAAACAACAATGTAGGCTATTAGCTCAGTTCAGCATTATTGGGCAGTGCACTTATGCTAAAATAAGGACTCCAGCAAACTGATGACAGGGTTGTGATCACACAGGCTTTGGTAGCATCCCACCCAAGATTAAGACTAAATACTACTCATTTCAAAGTTATGCTCACAGTTTTTCATTTTTGTTTTTTGTTGCTCTTGTTACTGGTACTATTTAAATTCAGGTGCTTCTATAAAATCTGCGTCATATGCATGGTAACATACATATGCCACAGCAGTGTGATTTATTAATGCAGCTCTTTTTCTATCCAATAAATATATTGTACAAATATTGATGGCTAATTAGAATCCATTTGGCTTGAGCATTTAAGGTAGGGTTGCAGCGATATTTGGCGGATAACCAGTAATTATTATCAACCTGCTCACAAAACCCAACCACCTCTGGCTTGTCCACAACAATGGGCTGAGGAAACACTTTACCACCAGCAATATCGTTGCCTAATATTAGACCTACTCCTTCTATCGGGAGCTGAGCACGCACTCCCAAACATACAACTCCCGTGAACAAATCAGATAAACGGAGTGCAAAGGCGATTATTTGAAAGGCGATAAATCTAAATAAAATGTTATAACATTTTTGAGAGCCTGATTACAAAAACAAAAGTCTCACCAGCCATGAGACTAAAAGCCATGTCCCAAGGGCTGTTGGACAAGTTCTCATTTTATGTAGCCGATTTGACAGACATGTTGCTCCTAATGTATTTTCCGCTTTTTTTCTTTTTTCTTAAAAGTGATTACACTTATATTTCAAGCAATTCAAAACTGTCATGGCGAACAGTGCACATCTGAAGTTTCTCAGCTGATGGAAATAATCCATTATTTATCGGCTTTAATATATTGGCCAAATTTTCTTATCAGGCCCAGGGTTTTTTCTTATCAGGCCCACCTTCTGATTAATGACAGAAATGAACCTTCCCATGAGGCGATATTCGACTCCTTTAGATGTAAGTGGGGTACTTTTTCTAACCTTATTAAATGTGTCATCCTTTATGTCAAATTCAAACATTTCTATCTAAAAATTGAGTTACAATAATAAGACACAATCAGTAAGAAGTTGTTATCAATCAAGTTAAATTAGTATCAACAAAATTCATCTTTGTACTGCAGGGGTGGCATAGAAGAACTAAAAGGTGTTTACAGTAGGTATATTTACTGCAATGACTATTTAATGAGGCTTATATGACTATTTAATGAGGCTCAGAAGTACTATGAATGCATTCATAGTAAATTCATGATAACAATGTTATGAGAGTAATAGAAGGTTTTGAATACATCATTTTTTAAATGATTTAAATAATGGAAATTATACTTTAAAATTTGATCTAAAACTGCCAGTAGGGAGCGTACTTTTTTGCAATGAGAGGATTTGCTAGCTTGCATAACTCAGTACTGAACATTCTCCAGTTATGGTTGTTGTTACAAGGTTTCCTTCTTTGTGTCCTTACTTATAATTGGAAGTAGCCTCGTTTTCAATTAAGAAATATCACTCCTGGAAATCTTGAATGGTTTTCAGCAGGGCAGTTTTACTTTAATTAGCATCTCACAGTTTTATTGATTGGATGTTTGTTTTCTGTCTTGCAGTTACAGTTACAGAAGACCCAGTATTTACAGCTTGGTCAGAACCGAGGACAGTACTATGGCGGCTCTTTGCCAAATGTCAATCAGATTGGAAACGCCACCATTGACCTTTCCTTTCAGGTAAGGAGCAGGTGATATTGACTATAAACAGATGTATGGAATACAAGTTGTGTACGGAAATGTTATCTTCATGATAGAGCTTCATGATTCTTGATAAAGTTTCACTACAGATCATGATTCTCCTACAATTCTGAGTAGACTAACTAAACAAAATAACATGTAATTTACTAAAGCTCCTGACAAAATGTTAATTACTGCAGTCTATTACTAACAAATTATTTAAACTTTTTTTTTGAATGAATGAATAATTTCAATACTGGATTAATCTGTGTTTTTGAACACATCTCTTGAGAGAATGATTCAATGACAAATTCTTTTTTTAACAGTTGCTTGTCACCACCTACCAGTGGTGGAATGTAACGAAGTACAAATACTTTGTTACTTTACTTAAGTACATTTTTCACGTATCTTTACTTTACTTAAGTAGAATAAATAGCGCCTACTTTTTACTTTTACTTCGTTACATTTTGCAGCAATTATTATACTTTCTACGCCACTACATTTCTACAAATTCTGTTACATTTTCTGATCAGTTTTTCCCCTGCCAAAACATAATCTGACCGTCCGTTCGTTGCACGTTTGTCTCACCAGTGACTTTTGGTTGCCATATAGATATATCAACTAAATGCGTCTCGCTCGCAGTGTGTTTTATCGTGCAATTTATACGTGAAAATTTTTACGTGCATAGAAAACACCTTGTGTAATATACGTTTGGTTAGGATAATGGCAAGCCAAGAGGTTCAGAATTACACCATAAATTAATCGTGCTTACTGCCAAACATAGTTATTAACATATAAGTTAGTAAGGATAAGCATGGTTTATATTGCCTAATTGCAAGCTTGTTTCAGAAATGGTGACAACATTTTTTTCCATCATTATTGAACATCATTATAGGAGTATTAGGTTGAATGAGTTAGAATTAAATGTTTTATTAATCATTAGAAAATAGTCATTAAGAGAATCAATTGTTATGCAAGTACTTTTACTTTTAATACTTAAAGTACATTTAAAATCAGGTACTTTTTACTTAAGTATGGTCGTCATTGTGTTACCTCTACTTTTACTAAAGTAAATATTTATCTGCTTATTTGTACTTTTACTTAAGTACTGAGATTCCACCACTGCCACCTACTGGTGTAACAATGTAATTAATCTTTATTTGAAGCATCAAGTTACTTTCTAAATGTGATTTACTTTATTTTGATTGCTGCTGTAGACACTTATATCCAAACTATAAACTTTTATCCCAGTACTTCTGTGATCATTTAATATTTCTATATTACACAAAAATAACGATACTGTGTGGTTGACAAGACCCCTGGTATATTGGACCCATGTGTTGGCTCATAAAGTGACAGCATTCTAATGTTTCTGCTGCTGTCTGTCTTTTTTAATGTTAGTCAAACAACAAAAGACAGAACAATCAATCATTGCTCTTGACTGAATAACTTTTGTAACTTTAAGGATTAATTATCTAATTAATCTATGTTTCATGTTTGGTAAAATTTATTTATGGCAGGTCAATTTTAAAGTCACTGGCCATTGGCAGCTGTGGCAAAAAAAATAATTTTAGGCCCTGCCTATACATGACAACTGCTCTCTCTCTCTCTCTCTGATTTGAATGTTCTCTGTGATCATACTTATACTAAGTTTTAATAGACATTGCCAAATGATTGTCATTTAGGAATTATTGCATGGGTGTTTGAATCAAAATTGTGATCATTTAACGATTAATCGTGCAGCTCTACTACTTCATGTTTGTTGGTTTTTATCAGACTCCTTTTCAGAATTCAGTATTAGACACAAGCAGAACGACTCGTCACCATGGGTTGGTGGACAGGGTCTATCGGGACAGGAATCGCATCACATCGCCACACCGCAGGCCCCTCTCTGTGGACAAACATGGCCGTCAAATATCCTTGATGCGTCTAGTCATAAATGCAGACACAATTATTGCACTGCTTTGCTCTGTGTGCCAAAACAAAAAGTTTCTGTTTCTACTTAATACTGGCATTATGAAGTCCTTAATGCTGAATCTCACATTGATAGCTGTCCATATGCCTCTGTGTATCTGTCACCACCACCTGATACCAGCTGGAGGAGGTGAGCGTTAATACTCACACAGTCTGCTAATGATTGTACATACTGTATATGCTGGCCTAATATGCTAGATAACTGTTAAAATTGCATGTCAATAATTATTCTTCCTCGCTTTGATGGCTCAAATAATAAACCCTGATATAGTTTATATAGTTGTTATTGTAACATTGTAATTTTTAAGTTGTTTAAAGGGGCTGTATGTAGTCTAGAATTCAGAAACCCTTGTTTTTAGTGACACCGGTGGCCATTAAGTGAACTGCAGCCATCAAATTAATGGGCGTGCTCGCACTTGTGCACATGTAATGCCTGGTACACATTGTAGGATTTTGGTCTGTCTGATGAAAGATGACCAATCGTGGCGATTTCTGTGGCCGTGGCTAGGGCTGTCGCGGTTATGGAATTTCCCTTGCGGTAATGTTGAGTGGCTCAATAGCGCGATATGCGGTATTACCGCCATTTATTTATTTATTTAATTTATAAATATTTGTTGCTATATAAATAAAGTTTACGATGTGGACAAAAACGAGGTCATTTAACCAATAACCGAAACTAAACAGCGTCTATACGTATGCGCATTGAAAGCATGATTGAAAGGCTTTCACTCAGCGCGCATATTGTTATGACAACGGACTTTGAACCGTTCATTCAACGAACACGTTCAAAGAAGCTGATTTGTTAAAAGAGATGTAATGAAACAAGATGTTATTATTTATAACTTTGATTTTAACTTTGTTCCACTTTTCAAGGCTCAGCTGAACAGCAATGCGTCGCATGGGTAACGCGGAAGCTGATGCTTCACTTATTAGAGACCAATATGGCATTGATTCAATGCGTGACTCTGTGATATTATTTTCTGCGGCTTCCTCGCGCTGTGGGATTCTGACCAGCGCTGCTGCTGACGCGCATTTGTGGAAAATACCCGTGACGTGAAGCTTGATGATACGACAAATATTTCGCTTTCCTTTGACACGGCAACCTTTTCACGACTTCAAAGACAGACGCAGGTAATCGCACGCGCTCTGCAGATCTCTCTCATTCACTGTCTGTGTGAAGCCTCTGTAGGCTACACATCACTAAGATAAACAGTCTTGTTGTTATCATTACGAACTTGTTTAGCATTCAATACACATGCATGAAGTTCAAAACAAGAAGAAGCCTTATAAAAAAAAAACGTGAATATCGCGGTTGCTGCGGTTACGTGCAATCCTCTGCGGTTGACCTGTCAGAAGCGCGGTACTGCAATATTGCGGTTATCGCGACAGCCCTAGCCGTGGCTACTAAACGGTGGTCCTGTGTAGTACAGTGAGAGAGATTCAAAAACGGCCGCTGTTCTACAAATTTTCTGACAGTGTCCGAAATTTAGCATGATCATCTCACAATTTGTTTGCTGCTACGACCTACGTCTACTGACTAGCCAATAAAAATGGCACATGAAAGGTGCTCTTAGCAATTTCACGTGTTTTTTAAAACTACTTCTCGCCAATTTGCTCTATTTGTTTAGCACTAGCGCATGCTGATGACCTTTTATTTTTCTATACTAACTTGCATCATACCCTACGATTCAATAGGTGTCATCATTATTCTACATGTATGTCTTAAAGGGTTAGTTCACCCAAAAATTAAAATGATGTCTTTAATGACTCACCCTCATGTCGTCCCAAGCCTGTAAGACCTCCGTTCATCTTCAGAACACAGTTTAAGATATTTTAGATTTAGTCCGAGAGTTTTCTGTCCCTACATTGAAAATATATGTACGATATACTGTCATTGTCCAGAAAGGAAATAAAGACATCATCAAAGTAGTCCATGTGACATCAGTGGGTTAGTTAGAATGTTTTGAAGCATTGAAAATACATTTTGGTCCAAAAATAACAAAAACTACGACTTTATTCGGCATTGTGTTGTCTTCCGGTTACGTCCCAGTGTGACCTGCAACGGAAGCCAGCGAATGTATGCACAGGCAATATAAAATAAAAAAAGAGAACCGAGTTTTTAAACATTTATAATACAAGCCTGTGCATGAGTAAGTGGCAGATAAGAAAGCATCTGATCATAGAGATGTGGATTTGAGTGCACAAGTTCAGTTATTTACCGACATTATGTTGACAGATGAGGTAATTAAAATGACCTCAATTAAATAAAAACAGTCAATTACATATTGGCAAAACAAAAAATAATTACATTATTAATTGTAAATTCTGTATTGTTTTCTGATTTTTACCATGAATATGGCCCTTTTGATTGCAATAAAAATATGAATCATCCTTAATAGAATCTTAAAATGAAAGAGTATCCACAATATGCTCTGTATGATTTTAGTTTCTTTTTATTTTTTACAGTTAAGATATCTTGCTAAAAGGTAGTTTGCTTATTTAATGTCAGTATTTATCAAATGTTTGTTTATACCTTCCTACCACTATTGTGCATTTGAATCAGCATGTTGTGGTACAGTATAATCATGTAATTTTAGTTAGAGGAGACTTTTACATCATTCATCACATGATTCTTGAATTTCTTTGTTCTGTAGGACCAACTCAGACTCTGCCCTGCACCAGAGCACTTTGAACCCACAAGATGCATTTGCAGGAGGGTCTCAAGATTTTCAGCCGAAACAAGGTTTTTATTTTTTATTTTATGATCTTATTAAATGCTCTCATCAATGATCTAATGCCAGGTTAAAGGTTGCTGTGAACTGTATCCTGTAGAATTTTCACCACACTTGTTTCAGCGTATGATTTCATCCCTCTCTATGTACTAGTTTTTCTTCTCACTATGCCAGGAACAGGGGAAGCTGAAAGTGACATGGACAAAGAATGTCAAAAACTGTCATGGGATCACAAAAAGGTATATTTTAAAATAGATTTATTTACTATGGTTTTCATATGATCTTTTATCAATTAATTATTTGTCGTTTTTTTTATTCTTCATAGAATACTTCACCAAGGCACAAGTCAAACAAAATACCTGGAATCAAGTAAGTGTGGTTTCAATGGATTTTCTTTTTGAAGCTGATAAAGTTTGAAGTAGAGTATAGGTGAATATTGAAGGACCATTCAATTTGGAGAGTCAAAGGTTAATTTGAGCAAACAATTTTCCATTTATTATTCAACCCAAGAGCTATCTAGAATGACCTACTCCTTTATAGCAGCCTTATTTTAACATATCATATAATCAGTACAATGGGCTTTTTCTGTTGACGTATCTATTTATCCCTGTTCGTTTTAATGTCCCTCGTGTCATTTCCCCAGCATATTTCCGTCTCCAGACCAGGAAATGACTTCATCTCTAATCCCAGTGGCACACAACACGGGCGGGTCTCTGCCAGACCTGACCAACATCCAGATTCCCCCTCCTCTCCCCACACCTCTGGACCCTGATGACTCCTCATCCTCTCTCAGTGCCTCCAACAGCACTGGCAACCTGTCCAACACTCACATGGGCCTCACGTCTGCCAGCCAAGGTGATTCTGACAAGTGTACGCATTAGGACAGTGGTTCTCCCCATTGACCGGAGGTATCCGGAGGTCCCCACCATTTAGGCTAATGGTACATCTGCTGTAATAACAGAGCTGAAAAGAAAAAAGTTCCAGAAATTTGAATAGCTGAATGTTTTCAGGGATCCCACTCATTTTAAACAAACGAATTTACTATTTTTACCACGCAATTATAATTTACTGGGTAAGGATTTAAAAAAAAGCCTTTGTATATAATACATCATAAAACTATTTTTAATGCATTAATTATGCTTTATAATAATGCATTGTATTACAGTTCTAATACATTATAATCCTTATCTATTCATTGAACACACCTTATTAAAGTATAACGCATTAAAACAAATGACAAACGACCAATTTCAGATGTGACAAGGAATCTGCAAATATTATAACATGTTTTATATAATGCAATAAATCTTACACTATGAATACCTTATACATTAAGGCTAAAAGTAAAGTGTTACCAAATGTTTTTACTCACAATTTCTATTTGATAAAATAGGATATTAATTAGGATATGCGCTCTGTGTGTAAAGATGTCCTGTGCTGTTACTGTTATAATGATGATTACGAGGACTAACCTTGAGACATTATATTGGATTAAATAATATCTATCAATGCCCCTTTGTCTCACTCTGGGTAAAACTAAAAACGTTGTCTGCAAGTGTCTAATATTTCCAATTTAGTGATACCCTACATAAATGGATTATCTAACTTGTATTGAAAATTATTTGGATACTATTAATTCATCATTTGATGTGTGACATGTTTTCTCAGCCCAGTCCACGGTGACAGTGAGCTTTCAGCGCCGGCATGAGAATGTAGTTCCTCTGATCCTTAACACAGACTCCCAGCAGCATCTTCAGCAGCTGTCACCCACCCTCTCTCCTACGCTCTCTCTATCAGCACAGGTAACACTGCTCTCATACCTCCAGCTGCTGAGAAGGACTGATTACAGGAGGAACATTACTTGATCAGATGCTAATAGACTGTCTCAATCTGGACCTATGGTAAATAGGAGGTGGCGATAGATGCCATGACGCTTGAACAGCAGTTGGCTCAGTATGCTTTCTTCAGTCAGCCGTCCTCACAGACGCAGACTACTGGTGGACTTCCTCATCTCCAGCAGAACACCCAGCTGCCACCTGTCTCAGGAAGCCAGACGCAAACCTCTGTGGGCATGGATATTAACACGGTAAGATCACATCTCAGCACTTACCTTCATGGAGCTGCAGTGCATTTCTAGATATTGGGTGTGTACGGTCAGTCGATAAGAACATAAAGGGCACTAAATTACATTCAAAATAATCATGGATACAGTACCAGTCAAATGTTTGGCATACCTAACCATTATACACAAATGTAAAAAAAAAAAAACCCCAGTAATAATAGAGAATATATATATATATTCGATTCTTTTAAATCACCTCTCTTTCCCTCTGCACAACCTGTTAATTTTCACAATTTTACAAAAAAATATATGACTTCTATTCCTTTCTGGTCAATCTTTATCCATTTAAAAATAAAAAGATGAATAGCATAAAAAAGACAATTACCCTACCATTCAGAAGTGGGTTTTTGAAGCTTTAAGAATTTAGGGATAAGCCTTTAGATGTTTTTTTTTTTTTTAAATTATGTAAAACATAATCAAATTATAGATGTCCATATTTTTGACTGGTAGTGTAAACAAATTTCAACAAGTGTTCTTTCTTTCTCATTTAAGTTCTCAGCTTATTCTGTTTTAAACATATCATCATCAGTCTTGACAGTACTGGTACTATCAAGTAAAGACTGAACCGTTTAAATGGCCAAATAATCAGAGACATTGTAGTGAATTATTTCCTGACTAAATTGGGAGCCACAGGCCAAAGTCTCAGAGGTCCCCTATAGGGGCTCCGTTGGTCTAACTTGGTGTTGTTCCACATAGGCTGCTTCCCTCCAGCAGTACCGCTGTAGGGTGGGGTCTTCGGCCAATCAGTCTCCGACCTCTCCGGTCTCCAATCAAGGCTTCTCACCGGGGGGCTCGCCTCAAGTAAGGCGAACCCAGCAGCCGCTGCTTCCACCCTGTAGTTTGTTTTGTTTGGAGCTGATCTGGAGCCTGTCCCTTTAGCCCGTCTGTGTGTCCTAGTCCAGTCGTGTCTCCCAGTCTCTCTGATCCTGGCTGCTTCGCTGTGTGTCTGAGCACCACTTAGTCGTTCTGTGTATCATGCTGAGTAGCGATATAGGCCAGTTTCATTGAAAGTGCCATTGCTGTTGCATATCGTTTCACCGGATCATGTTGATATTGTGCATTTTGAGCATAACTGCTGGTTGTGTCAGTTTAACACAAGATTTTTGTCCTTTAAAATGTCTTTTTAAATGAAATGTTAATGCTTTGAAAGAATGACTTGCAGATTTTGAGAAATTGTACTTTTGGATAGTTCTTTATATCTTACTTGGTAATTCAGGGGTCTTTAACCCCCCGTATATGGTACCACTAGATATTTTATAATTCATTTTTTTGCATCTCTACGAGCAATCAGCCAAAAATCTAAGAAGAAGGCCTCGCTCTAAAAAATGTATTTTCTAAGAATCTTTTATTTTGGAGCAAGTGAATTAAAAAAACACTGTTTCAGCCTAAAGCCTTATTTTAGAAAATACTTTTTTTAATAGAGTGCAAATCTCTCCTTGTTTTTGTAAAAAAAAAAAAAAAACGTGTTTAAAAAAATACAATATTACATTAAAGCGAGGGTAGGCAATGTTTTTCATAAACACTTTTTGTGATACTGGTTGAAACTCTTTTCACATCCTGATAGCAATCAATAAAAGAAATGTTCTAAATATTAAAAAAAAAAAATGCACATATATCTTCTGTGGAAGTCTCAGGACCAACATTTCTTGAAAAACCCTGAAAACCCAGGGTGAGACCCGAGCCGGATCAGGTCCAAAACTTTGATAAGTGCCCTGGACACGGGATGGGTCTTGATAGTTGTAAATGTGCTTTTACCGAATGGACCTGAGAAGATCCAATTTTTAAAAACAAATATACCAACATTGCACTATTCGTTTCAGGAGTTTTAACAATATTTTATTAAAAAAAAAATTAATAACAAAAATTATTATCCCCTTCTCTGTCAATACGTGTTTTGGGGCGGCAGTGGCTCAGTGGTTCATGTGGGTTGTCTACAAACCGAAAGGTTGGTGGTTCAATCCTCGGTTCCACCTGACCAAGTGTCGAGGTGTCCATGAGCAAGACACCTAACCCCAGCTGCTCCCGACGAGCTGGCTGGCGCCTTGCATGGCTGACACCGCCGTCGGTGTATGAATGAGTGTGTGAATGTGAGGCAAATGTAAAGCGCTTTGGTGGCCATTAGGTCTATGAAGGCGCTATATAAATGCAGTCCATTTACCAGTTGTTTTTTTTGTGTGTGTGTTTTTTTAAATAATCAAACCCTCCAGAATACTGGTGGCGAGCAGCGGCGATCGCTCCACATAGGCCGTTTGGAGCGTTTAGAGCATTTGTTTCAGAACCTGGGGCGTTTTCTCGCTTCAACAGCTCTCTGCAATAATAGTGCCATTCGAGGGGCTGGGAATTTGCTTCTAAAATGCAAATTTCTTTGGCATGTGAGTTGAAGCATTATGCTTAAAGCGGTTTCATGAAGTACATTCATTCATGTCGTAACCACATGTAATTAAGAGATGACAGCCCGTGACATTCTACACTGAGCTATGATTTATGTGTTTATATGTTAACACGGTCAATACGGAAATCAATCTGTAGCAGTCAGGTGGTACAAGTGAAGCTCTGTAAGTTTTTTACATTCATTATTATTGTAATATGTGCTTTGAGACATGAGGTAATTTAATGCTGTTTCGTATTAATTTGCAGAATCTGCTGTGTTCGTTCATGTGTGGCTTTGGCTCTAAAGGAAGGGTGGGATCTTATGCTTTCAAAGCTAACTTGATACTACTAACCTCTCTGAAATTGGCTACACTAGCTTTAAGATTAATTTTAATGACTCTGAAATTGAATTGATATTAATTAATATTGTACTATATGCATGTTGTTACTAGCCAGACCTAAAATGCAACATTGAGTTTTATACAATATGTAGTAACAGGGTATATTTGTTCTGTCTTGATCCACTAATGGGGCTGAAAAGGATTAAAAATTCTGCGTTAGTTCATATTTATTACACATAATTATATAAGTCTTTTAGTTACTTTGCCTTTGGCAGTAAACACTGCTCCAGAGTCCACTGACTGCTCCGATGGGTCCCACAGTGTGGCATGTTTTTTTTTTTCTTCAATTTTGTACTTTTTACTTGGTAATAATGGTGTGCAGCTTCTTCCCTTTGTCTCTAAATGCCATAATCACAAACTGGGTTAGAGAATATGACTGTAGTGATTGTGTGGATTTTTTTTCTTCATTTTTTTCCCACTGGGTTAGGTTTAGCTTTTTGCTTATCTGTTGCTTTAACAAGGTGTTAAATTTCCATACAGTGCAACATGTTTTTGTGTTTGAAATTAGCCAAAATGTCTTCGTCAAAGTAACATGTTGATACAGAATTGATGTTGTCTGTTTTCTTGCATCATGAATTGATGCAGAATGTCAATTTTTTTTTATTGATTTTGATCCTGTCATGGGCTGAGAATATTATTTTAAGACCTTTGTAATAGTCATTGATCTGTATTAGCCTTTTCATGGATGGTGATTTAATAATATGTTCTCTTTCTAGCACTCGTCCATTCTCGGAAGTGTCTTTGGTGATGCCTTTTACGACCAGCAGCTGTCTCCTCGGCAGACCAGCGCTTTGTCTCAGCAGGTGAGGCCACTATGTCCAGTATAAATCTGTTGAATTGTACTTTAGCTGCTTCAGCCCATTTGGAATGTTTTAAGACGCATGCAGACGGTATTACCACAGTTCTATCTGTTCATCTATATATGTCACTGTCAATGTCTAATTTATTTATATAACACCTTAAAACAACCAAAGTGCTGCACAACAGACAAAATATCATCATACAAAAACATTTAAACACTAATAAAATACATCAGAAGAAGAACATCAGAAAATAATAATTTAATACAAAACATCATCAAGCAAATAAAGCAATTAAAACTAAAAGTGTTATCGGATTAAGGATAAGCTTGAGAAAAATAATGTTTTTAGAGATGATTTAAAGATTTTGGAACATCAATAATAGATGAGTGGAGGATCTAAGCATTCTCTCAGGAGAGTAGAAATGGAGAAAATCTGAAATATAAGAAATATGTGAAGAACTACTGTACCCTGTCCAGGAACAATTTTTACCTTGCTCTTTACATATATGGGCCACTAGAGGGCAGCTGAAAGCTTTAGGTTAGGATGACAAGTGTAGGGTTACCTGTGAGCTATTCTTTATTAGTGGCACAAAAGAGATGTACCGGGACATAGATTTGAATCAGACCTGCTTAATATTTTGTTTGAATCTGCATCATGTTCAGACTCTGCGGGCATGCCTCCCCTGTAAGAAAGTTTTGTATATTTTAAATCTAAATGCATACTGTAAATCCGGTGCATTTTGAGATGAAAACTAAGTAATTGGGTCAATGAAGAAAATTGTTCTCCTGTTTTTGTGCTTTAGTCATTTATTTATCGGTTGCATAGATATGAATGGTTATGGTAGGGCACATTAGTCACATATAGTAAATTATAGTTTTTACAATGGTCAAACATGTAGAGTGTACATTTGAACCATCAAAAATATGTATCAAAAGATGTTACTTTTAAATGAATTTATTTCTAGAATTATGACTAGGGGCCTGTAATACATATTTATTATTGTACAAATCATATTGGCAAACTTTGCACCCTGATTTTGAACATCGCTCATAAGAAAAACTGAATTCTTCTGGGCATGGCCTTTTATGGGCTATAGCCACGCCCTTTGTGGCGGTCTCTGACATGTATGATGTAATGATAGCTCACTGGCACACACGTTGGAGATGCACACGTTGGAGCCGCCCGCGCCATTGGGTGTGCAGTTGCTGCAGCAGGGAACTGAGGTTATGTTAGTAACCGAGTACGTTTTTCACATTTATACCAATCTAGTGTGTAGGTAGGTATTGTGGCCCACCCCTAACATAATTTGGTATAATCAATGTAAGCATGGAGACAGATGGCTAACTGTCAGGCAGAGTTACAGCATACACAAAGATGAAAATGCTATGTATGGACTTTTTTAACTCTAGGGGACACGGTGTAAAAGCTAAAGTCCCAAAAAGTAGGTGTGTTTCTTTAACAGAAGAACTGTATGTTTCTTTCCTTTGATTGTCTCCTTTAACCTTCACTTTATAGCAATTGAATTTGTTTTGATTCTTTAGCTGGAGCAGTTCAACATGATTGAGAATTCCATCAGCTCAAACAGTCTGTACAGTGAGGGATCCACTCTAAACTACTCTCAAGCTGCGATGCTCAACCTCACTGGGTGCCACGGCAACCTGCAGGACATGCAGCAGCTAAGCTACAGCAGCCATGGGAACATCCCCAACATCATTCTCACAGGTATTGCAACCTGCACCTGTTAGAGATTGCATAATATTGCATAAAGTCTTAGTCTAGCATCACAGAGGTCCCTCTAAAACAGGGGTATCCAACTTTATTTCATTTGAGAGCTACTTTTTAAAAATGAAAGTGGCTGAGAGCTACTCGTGTTATACAGTACTTAAATCTTTTAAATGTATCATAACTCTCAAATTATCAACAACCCAAACTGATACACACCTGAAGTCAGAAAAATAACAGAAACAGAGAATGCTGTTCTTTATGGAACAAAGTATTTTTCATATTACACTGTAGTCGTCTATACATAACTATAGTTGGTTTTTATAGTGCTTCATATCTGGAGAAAAAAATGGTATGAAATAATCCATATCACAATCGTAGTGACCAAAATGATCACCGTTATCACGGTATTGTTAAAGGGATACTTCAAGATCGTGTTTCGAGATCGCCCAAAATGTCCGTGATTCGGCTTTTACATTCTGTCTGCGTTCATTATGTTTACTGTGGTGAGCAGGACGAGGCTGAGGGCCGTGGGAGAACCACGCGAGGTCGGTAAATCCTGAAGGATCCCTTTAAATGTGCTGGAAACATTTAAAAAGTACTGGTATGATAAATGTAATTTTTATATTATATATATATATATTTTTTTAAGTTTTATGTCCAAAACCGACTAACACATAAAATTAACGGCACTATACACTTTTTCGTTAAATAAACATTCAAATAAAAACGTATAACATACGAGTGCCTTACAACATAACATGTTACAATTTTTTTAGAAAATGATAAACCTCACATTTCAGCCTTTAAATCATTTTAATGAAAAGGTCAAAATGATAAATTATAGGCATCTATCTGCTCTATAAACAATTCATAAACAAACAATTCAACCATAGGCTGTGTTATTATCTGAACTGTTGAGATTTTGAGAACGCACATTAGCTTAATTTCCATCTACCAGTTAAAATGTAAAAAGAAACTCTCCGATTTTCACATTGGTCTGAAAAAAAAATGTCAGACAGGCTGAATGAAAATGTAAGTCCACTTTCTGACAGTAGGTGCCACTTATCGAAAAGCAGAAATCGAGCTGTATCCCTGGTAACCTCTGTAAACAAAGCAGCTGCCCTTATAAACACTACTTTATTAGGCATTATACAAAGGGAAGATGAATAGCAAATGCTATCGAAACTTTTCTGAAGACATTTGGTTCCCCCTTAGAGATACATTCATATGATTCATACATTCTTTCATATAATTCCTCTCAGCATTCTGTCATGTTTTCACACAAAACCTGCAGTGTTTTTACTGCAAGTTTTTCAGATAATGTTAATCAAATACGAAAGCCAAGAGGCTCCAGTTACTGTATAAAAAACCTTTATTGTTGCTAGTGTAGCCCCTTCAGTTTGAACTCCCCGCTCTGAGCGGGACTCGGACCCGGGCGCTCTAACAAGGAGGCTAAAGACCACAGTCTCTAGCGTCAGTTACTAGAACGCCTCTTGTGATTAGGGGTGTGAGGTTTACACACACAGCTCTCACTGCCCTTTGTTTGTTACACTTGCGCCGCAAATTAGGCACAAATATATTTCGCCAACATTTGTAAAAAAAAAAAAAGTCCCATTCCTCATGAAAATCATATGTTTAAATATTTTTTTACTTTTTTGCTTGAATGCTGTCTTTACTCATCCTGATACAAACCAAGTTTTGTAGCTAATACTGCCTTGCAGCCGTGTAAGCGTGATGACACGCTTGATTGAAACTTCACCGTCCCGGTATTTTTTTTTTTTTTCTATTGTTGGTTGTTATTCTGTTATGTTGTAATTGCATCTGCATGTTAAATAAATAAAAAAATAACCTCACCGCCGATGTGTCAAATAAATACTTGATTTGCATTGGAGGGGGTGGGACACCTTTCAATTTTAGCTGACTCTGATTGGATGAATCGTACGTCTTGGTTAACTACCTCGAATTAGGCCACGGACTACTGGTAGTGTGTTGGAGACCCCTGCTCTAAAAATTTAAGCTATTATATTAAGCATCTTTTAGATAAATTCTCCTCCAAGCCTATCCAAAGAGTTGTCCAACTCCCTAACAGGTGACATGAGCTTTGACGCAGATTCCCAGTTCCCTCTGGATGAGCTGAAAATCGATCCTCTGACACTGGACGGCCTGCACATGCTCAATGATCCAGACATGGTTCTAGCCGACCCCGCAACAGAAGACGCTTTCCGGATGGACAGGCTGTAATCTTTAGGTATATGATGTTCATTTGTCCTTCTTTGAGATCGGTGTGATTTAAGAGGAGAGAAGCAGCATGTCTGTGGGACACTTGACCCTGTTTCTCAAAGCCCATCCTTTGGGAAGAGATTGCTGAGAATGTTGCCACCACATGCTAGGGAAAAATGGTAAAGCTTTTGAGCAAGCAGCCCATCATTTCTTAGGATAATACACTCACACCTCAGCAATCATGGATTCCTTTAGCTCTATGTGAGAGAATGTGACACTACATATGATCCCTCGTGGTTCAATCATGCGTTCTTCCATTTCATTTCCTGTAGAAGGCCCCCTACCATCTCCTCCTGATGCACACTACATGCCTGTTACTTTCCTTTTTTTCTTTTACTAAAAATATTTATTTTATGCACTTTTATACATGCATATATACCACCAAAAGCATTGTTTAAGCATTATTTATGTTTTTTGCTTTTAAGAGCAGTAATGGTTAAAAAGGAGTGTTAATCCTCCCCATTTTAAGGGCTTTTAGACATGAACACAAATGTACTTCAGTACAGACTGAACATGATTGTAATGTTTTATAGATGTCTATTTTCAGCTTAAACCGTGCTAATGTGGCTCAAAATGATCAAATTAATCTAGTTGAAAAAAGTCTAACTGGAAATCCTAATATCAGAGGACACATTTGATACAGTTTAAAAGGGATAGTTCACCAAAAAATGAAAATCCTGTCATAGTTGACTCACCCTCATGCTCTTCCATTTCAGTAGGACTTTTTCTGTGCAAAATAGACGATATATTTTGAAAATATATTTGTTTTTGTCCATGCAAAAAGTCAATGAGGCCCAATACAATACATTTGGAAAAAAAAGACCTCACACTCAGGCTTTATTCAGAATATATTCCGTTCCACAAAAAAAGAAAGTCGTACAGGTTTTAAACGACATGAGGTGATGATGACAGAACTTTCAATCTTTGATGAAATGGTGGTGTTTTAAATCAACATACTTTACATATTCAATGTACAGTATGTAATGTTACAATATGTCCTACAAGCTCAGCCATGGTAACTGATATAGTCAAAATGATGCTGAAAACTTTAACATTACTTGTAAGTTCCTTCGGTTTACTCCAAAAGACGCATGAAGACAGCATGTGATCATGGCGATCGTTTGCATATATGTATCAGAACTAGTCACTGTGATAACCAGATTCTGCCTTACACTGAAGATGGAGGTTTTTTTTTCCCGTTTTGTTCTCCGTTGCTGAAGGTGTTTTCTGGTACTGTAAAAGTTGCTGTATCTCATGAGGTTGTTCTGGCGGAAAGTTCTCATTCGTCTTCTGGTAGCCTTGTGAAATCAAATGCCCAAAAGGGGAGGTTTACTACTCTTTTTTAATCCTGTCACATTCATCTTTATCTCATTTTCCTCAGACTTTTATACTCTAACCATTTTTGTAAGTGTGAGAATTTTGTTTACAAAATTAAAAAAAACATCGTAATGTTTAAATTATTCGAATGCTGAATATATATATATATATATACATACACACACACACACACACTGTATACCGTGTGTGCGTGTGTATATATATGTGTGTGTGTATATATATATATATATATATACCAGTTTATATATATATATATATATATATACCACAGTTTATATACTGTGTGTGTGTGTGTGTATATATATATATATATATATATATGTATGTATACACAGTACAAACAGTATATATAGTAAAATATTTTATACTATAAAATATTTTAAGAAATGTTGTTATCCGTGTAAAACTTCTACGTACAAGGGGATAATCGGATTTGGATTAATATCTATGCAAAGCATAATCAGACATACTAGATCACAAAAATACTAAAGAAAAGCTCAAACAGACGTACAGCTTTTACAGCATCTGTGGGTTCTGAGTCCGTGCAGCTGAATTTTACTTGCTACATGGATTTTTTTTTTCTGTTGTTGTCAGCAAAAAGGGAAAAAAAAGAGAAGCCGTTAATGCATGAAAAACGTTTGGATTCTCCGTAAGGGATTCTTTTTGTAAGGCATCTGATTGCACTGTGTAAATTTCCTGTATAAAAAAGCATGACCTACATGTGCTTTGTCTCTGACAACTGTTTTCATGAGGATCATGCTTCGTGTGTTCAAAATGTAAAATAATTGACGAGAAGGATGTGTCAGGTAATCAGTTACTGCTATAGTCCTTTATTTGATTGCCTCATCAAAAAGAACAGCATTGCTTAAACCAGAATGTATTTTGACACTTGTAGGACCAAACATATTGATTGACACTAGCATTATTTTTGTTACTGTGATGTTTGTGTACTTTTCCATGTGTTTAATACTGGTAGTTGCCCTCTGCATTGTTGTGGCCCCTCCATTTCATTTGCTAGAGGCTGCATTGTACAGAGGCTCAGAGCTATTGAGCTGTGACTGGTTTTAATTTTATTTTGCATGTCTGACCATCACAAGTATTGGTGATTGATAAGCTGTGCACTTTTATCTTTTTGATATTTTATTTTACATCTCTATCTATGTGTTCTGCATTTGTGAACGTACTACATGAGAACACTTCCTACATTTACTTGGCACTTTAATCTATACCCAATCTCCCCCCCCCCCAGTCTTCTCGCTACCCTCTGAGTGACTGTTAAGTGCACTGGGTCTATTTCCCCCTACTGTTTGGCCGATTTTGCCTTCTATTCTAAGACAAGTATTTTTGAAAAGGATAAAAATATCTGTTGTCTATTTATGATTTTATACTTGGTCAGTGAAAAAAACAACAACAAAAACAAAACAAAAAGAAAACCACTTTTTTATGTAGTGTTAGGAAAGTATGAAAGTTCCCCAGATATTTAAGAAATGAAGGAAGGTTACCTTTCTGTGTCAATTTACCGTAGACCAGTTTACCTTTTATAAAGCTTCATCTGTGGATCATAGTGTATCATTACCATGCATTGAACCAGTCCAGAACATTTCTGGTCCAGAAAGGAGAGCATGCAGAAAAAAAAGGTCCTTCGTCATTGTACTTATTCAGTATCTAATGTATGCACAGCCTTCATGTACATAAATGCTACACTTATACATTTTAAATGTAAGAGTAGAGCGCAAAATATCAGGAGTCTGTAAAAATAAAAAATAAATAAATATATATATATATATATAAATAAACTAAATGAATTATATGGAACTGTATGTTTTTACATTTTAAAATGCTTGAAGTGGACTCTATACTGTCCCTCCGTTCAGGGGTTTCACACTTTCGTCGAACTCATGTTTTAAATACACAGGTCTGTGTTCATTATCAGGTGTGCTCACACTTCTAGCCAAATCATAAAAGAATCCCTGCTGCAAATGTAAACGCAGTTTTGCTTTTCAGCCTCTATACACTGAACATTGTTGAAGCTTTGTGAAATAATATTCTCTTATGTCTTTGTTTTGTAGTATTTGCAGTAGAACTATTTGGTGCAGGCTGATATCATTTTATTTTGTGTTTTGTATGTGTGTGCATTGGGAATTGATGTTTAAGTACTGTAAAAGCTGTCTTCACATGCTCAAGGTCTGTTTGCTTCAGTGTGTTGTAGATCTGTGATTTCTTTGTTGTGGTTGCTTTATCCACTTCAGTTCCTAGATTTCCAAATATCTGATTTGTAGGCCAGATTTCTTTGAATGAAACAATATTTTCACAAGAGTCCTCCTTACGCAAAAACATAAGATAACTGTTTCACAGGATATTACGGAGCCCTGCACGTAACATGCAGACAAAAATGTATTGTGGCCACAAATTAAGAATTCATCAGATATACTAATCCGTTAACTCATTTTAGTAAGACTTTAGTTCGTCTTCAGAACACGAATCTTTAGATATTTTTAATGAAATCTGAGAGCTTTCTGTCCCTCTATGGACAGCTACGAAACTACCACATTCAAGGTCCAAAACGGTAGGAAAGACATCCTTAAAGTAATCCACGTGACTGCAGTGGTTTAACCTCAATTTTATGAAGCAACGCGAGTGCTTTGTTTGTGCAAAAATCATAATTTACCACTTTATTTACAAAAATATTGATCTGTATCCCAGTAGGGAGAGCATCATGAGGCATGTGTGTTGTGTTGACTTGAGAGCTGGTGTAGTTAAAAAAAAAAAAAATATATATATATATATATATATATATATATATTGGTGCAAACAAAGCACTGGAGTCACATGGATTAATTTTATGTCTAATAATACTATTCTGAACCTTGAATGTGGTAGTTGTGTCGCTGTCAATGGGAAGGACTAACCCTTTAATTAAAATTAGTTAAAGGAAATCATTGTCATGTGGAACTAATTTGTTCCCTCCTTATGATTGAACTAAAACGAGGAAACAAATTAGTAAAACGTGCTAACGTGTTAGTAAGTCGTGGGAATGAATTGTTAATTTGTGGCCATTATATACATTTTTTACCCCGCATGTCATGTGCTGGGCTTCATAGTACACATTTGAAAACTGCAATCGTTTTCTAAGCAGTGAGCATCTTGTTAACTTATGAATAATAAGCAAAGTAATCTGAAATCGGAAGGTATCCTGTTTAACATATCTTGGAAGAAACCAAAATATGCCAAGGAAGGATTTCCCATAATTTGCTCCAGTTAATACACTTTTTATATAAAATAGAGTTTCTGTTTGTCCCAAACAATGACAGGGTACCTTTTAATTGTGCAAATGCTTTTTATGAGGGTGCCAATAGATTCGTAGCCGTTTTTAATCTAGTCAAAAATGTTTCGCAACTTTTTTTTTAAGTTAAGGTCTAATTTTTATTATTAATTCTAGGAAATTTGATATCATATCAGTCATTTGTCAAAGCGCCCTGTTCATAGGGCCAAAAAAATTAATTGTGCAAAAGGTTTGCTTGTACACTCACCTAAAGGATTATTAGGAACACCATACTAATACTGTATTTGACCCCCTTTCGCCTTCAGAACTGCCTTAATTCTACGTGGCATTGATTCACAAGGTGCTGAAAGCATTCTGCAGAAATGTTGGCCCATATTGATAGGATAGCATCTTGCAGTTGTGGGATGCTCATCCAGGGCACGAAGCTCCCGTCCCACCACATCCCAAAGATGCTCTATTGGGTTGAGGTCTGGTGACTGTGGGGGCCATTTTAGTACAGTGAACTCATTGTCATGTTCAAGAAACCAATTTGAAATGATTCGAGCTTTGTGACATGGTGCATTATCCTGCTGGAAGTAGCCATCAGAGGATGGGGACATGGTGGCCATAAAGGGATGGACATGATCAGAAACAATGATCAGGTAGGCCATGGCATTTAAATGAATTGGCACTAAGGGGCCTAAAGTGTGCCAAGAAAACATCCCCCACACCATTACACCACCAGCAGCAGCCTGCACAGTGGTAACAAGGTATTTTGGTGAGCTATTGCAAATTGTAGCCTCTTTTTCCTATTTGTAGTGGTGATGAGTGGTACCCGGTGGGGTCTTCTGCTGTTGTAGCCCATCCGCCTCAAGGTTGTGCGTGTTGTGGCTTCACAAATGCTTTGCTGCATACCTCGGTTGTAACGAGTGGTTATTTCAGTCAATTCTCCCATTCTCCTCTGACCTCTAGCATCAACAAGGCATTTTCGCCTACAGGACTGCCTGTCTGTCACCAACAACCATGCCACGCTCAAAATTATTTCCCATTCTGACATTCAGTTTGGAGTTCAGGAGATTGTCTTGTCCTGGACCACACCACTAATGAGAAACTGAATAGGTGTTCCTAATAATCCTTTAGGTGAGTGTATATTTTACTTGCATTCTTTCTCTATAATTGACAAGCCATTGAAAAAAAAAAAGCCA